CGACCGTCTGGTCGCCGCCGCCGCGTCACCCTCTGCCGCGCCAGCCCGCGCCTGTCACCCGTGTCGTCGCGCCGCTCCAAACCGCCCCGCCGTCATCGCCGTCGTCATCGCCTCGGCCCCGCCACTCCGCGCGCAAGCCGCCAAGGGACGGAGGCCGAGCCCTCCTCCCTCTGCCGCGACGCCCCCGCTCCCCTCCCCCTTTTCCCAAAGAAGAAAGGGGCGAGCCCCCCTTTCTCTCCCTCCTTTTTCCCCTTTTCCTCCCGCCGGCGTCATCCTCCCTCCCTCCTGTCACCGTTTTGGCCGCTAGCCAGAGCGCCAGCTCGCGCCTTGACCGCCAAAGTCGGTTTCCAAACCGACATTGCCGCCCCCTATAAACCCAGGCGCCCTCCCTTCCCTTTTCTCCCATTCTTCCCTGTTTCTCGCCCGCACCATTGCCGTCCCTCTCGCCGACCGCAGCCGTCGCGTGTGTGCCGGAGGAGCCGGTGCGCACTAGGACGCGGAAAGGGACTCCGGGCGCTCGTCTTCCTCCTCTTCCCCGGCCCGAGGCCGGAGAGATCCCTCCCGCGCCGTCGGCCTCTCGTCACAGCGCCCCTCCTCACCTCGGTGATGCCTCCCTCCGTTCTTCCTCCTCGCTCCATCTCCCCCCCCTTAGTTTTCGGTGGTAGCACGAGTGGCCTCCCCGTAGCTAGCCGGCGCCGCCCCGACCGTTGCCGTCGCCCGCCGTGTGCTCGCCGCCGTCGCCGCTCGAGCTCCGTAGCACCCGCTCGTCGCCAGCCTCGCTCGGCGTAGCTCCGCCCAATCCGACGCTAGCATCGGATTCCCGTGGCCGCGTAGATGCTCTCACCGCCGGGAATCGGCCCCTCGTGACCTCGTCGCTGTTTCCCTCTTCCCTCCCCGCCGGTTGCCGCCGCCGCGATTCGCCACCGTCAAGCTTCCTCCGGCGAATCCGAGCCGTTGGCTCGTCTCCCCTCGTCTCGTGCAACCACCCGGTGTGCTCGCTTTCGCCGGTATCGCCGTGGTTCGCTCCGCCGCTCGCCGCTGTTGTCCGCCGTCCGTTCCGGCCGGCGTCGTCGTCTACCTCCCGCCGGCCCGCGTGGCAGCCACGTAGGCGCCACGTCGGCGCCAGCTCAGCCGAGGTCGGGACGGGCCGACCCCGGTCAGCCCCTCCCGTGCGCGCGTTCCACCGCGAGCCGTGAGGCTGCGCGTGGGCCCGCCGCCTCCGTTCCTCCGCAGACCGCGCGCGTGCACCGCGTCCCTCCCCCGCCCGCGCGCGTGCGCCGCGTGCTCCCTCCGCACGGTGAGCCGAGCCGCTGACAAGCGGGTCCCACCCGGGACCGCGCACGGTGAGCCCGGTCCACCGGCCCTCTCTCTCCTCCCCTCCCGCGCGCGCGCACTTGGGCCGCCTTGGGCCGGCCGGCCCATTTAGCTCGGCTGGTTCGCTCCTTTTCCCTTGGGCCGCGCCCTAGCCGCCCGAGGAGAAGTCTATAATCCCTCCCTCTTTCCCTTTTCTTTTCTTTTTCTTTTCCAAAAAGGATTTAATTAAATCCTTTTCCTTTAGACCAAAAATCCAATAATCTTAGAAATTCAATATCTTCCCAACCGTAGATCCGTTTGACTCCGTTCAACTTCCAAAATTCCTCAAATCTCGAGATCTATCTAATGGCACGCTTAGAGGTCAATATTAGGGCTTCATTTTCGCCGTTTGTTGAGTTGTCCCGTTTCGCGTGTAGTTCCGGAGCCCGAAGACCCGCAGTGCGAGGATTTCGAGGATCAAGCTCCAGATCTCGAGCAAGGCAAGCCACCTTTGAACATCTTGAGCCTATATTTGAAATTTAATTATGTTACTTGCAAAATATTTTGCATTGATAGGATCGCACTTAATCTGCTGTCCCGTCAGCAAGGCAGATTGGCGGATCTACCTAGTTTGTTGCATTTGATCCTTCCTTTGTTAATTGTTATACCATATTCCCTTGTAACCACCCAGTTGCGCCTCGGAAATCGTGCAATCTGTGCGAGTACCGAAGGGCGCCTTCAAATTTAAAATCTGAGCAACTTCTTGGGTAAAACTTGAGTTTTACAAAAGACTTGGAAAACCCGACACTTGGGTCGGTGCTTGTGAACTAAATGAATTTCCAAAACCGTGGACCGGGGAACGTACCGGGTGTACGGTTTTCCCGCTCTCGCACTTAAGGACCGATTCCTAGGAATTTCATCCAAACATAAGACAAGTACGACCACATGGGTGGAATATGACACCCTTGGCTGAGTAACTAGCTTATCAGGGGAGCCTTGATGTCGAGAGACATGTGGATTCGTCGGGGTGGTGTCGGGGAGGACCCCTGGGCTTCCTGGCATAGTATGGTCTGGGACCTAACCTGTTGTTGGTCTGGGACCCCTCTCGTCGGCATATGGTAAACCTGTATCGGCTTTGAAAATGCCTTGTCATGAAAGCTTGGAGGTCTCCCGACGTGGCTGATCCCCACGGGCTGGGTGATCCGGGTTAGTAATGTCGTGTGGGTAAAGTGTACCCCCTCTGCAGAGGTTAACAAACTGTTCGAACAGCCGTGCCCACGGTCATGGGCGGATGTGAGGTGATTCCTAGCGTAGTTTTGTTTGACTACTGCTTGTGAAATTGCTGTTGTGGAAAGGGGTTCGCTGTTTGAAAAATCTGCAGCTGATGGGATCAGCTAGGCCTGGGTGGCCGTTTGAAAGTTGTTGGCCCGGGTGGCCGTTTGAAAAGCTGTTGGCCGGGTGCCAACCTTGTTTTAAATTTTAAAGACTGATACATTGCACATACTCCGACCGGACGAGACGCACCGTCTCAACCGTGTCGTTTGAGAAGCACTCACTTAGTTGTTTTTAGAAAAAGGAGTTCAAATAAAATCAACTGCAAAAACAACAGCCTTTCCTTGAAGCCTGCATTAAACACCTATTTTCCCTTGGCTTGCTGAGTACTCCCCGTACTCACCCTTGCTCTATATAAATAATCCCCCCCAGTCGCTGAAGAAGACGAAGCGGATCCTGCTGATGAGGAGTTCTTCCAGGAGCAAGCCGACTACGATGAGTTTTAGGGTTTCGGCCTAGTTCCCAAGTCGCGCCTGTGTTGTTTGGTCCAAGTCCCGGCTTCCGTTTCCCTTTTGTAATGCAGTTGTGAGCTCGGGATCTGTCCGCAGCCCAACATGACTGTACATCTACTCTATAATAAAGAGACATCTGTTGCTGTGATAATCTGTCTTCCTGTGATACCAGCACTGTGTCTTGGGACTGGTATCGATTAACAGGTTAAATTGGAGCGTCACGGGCTAGTTCCGGTCGGTACTAATTCGGGGCGTGACACATTGACATGTGGATCTACGACCTACATGTCAGTATCTTTGTAGTGGTACTTTTTTTTTTATTTTCCCTTACATTTTTCAGTTGCTCTGATACGTCTAATGAAGAACATGTCGGCTGTGTTCGCAGTGGCTCGTTCCTATCAAGAACGGTAAGCGCGGAAAACGGAGCGATCTATTAACACGTGGTTAATTAAGTATTAGCTATTTTTTAAAAAAAATAAATTAATTTAATTTTTTTAAGCAACTTTCGTATAGAAACTTTTTTAAAAAAAACACACCGTTTAGCAGTTTAAAAAGCGTGCGCGCAGAAAAGGAGGGAGGGGATGGGAAAAGGTGCATGCGAACACAGCCTCGCTAGCAAAGCAAGGCCGCATACCGTATATAGTTTCCAAGCTAAAAATGGTATCGGCATGTTCAATTCACTGGAACCACTTAATTACCTCTTTTTCTCAAGATACTAATGTATTATATACTCACTCTGTTTTAATAAAGTGTATTAAAAAATATAAAAGTTAAAACAATATAATTTGAGATGGTCAAATCACTAATTTTGACTTCTTGACTTTATAATATACCTTAAAAAAGTGAGAGAGCACTATATTAGTCATATGTAGATATGTAGTGTAGGTCATCGACAATGCACAAATATAAACACACTGATTTAATTTTTGCATTGGTTTCCTCCATAAATCTCAACTCGATGTTTACTTCTTTTTTTTTTCGTTCATGTAGATGGTCTATAGAGTTGCATGCACTCATTAACTATTATTAGATTTTCCTAGCTAAAAAAATCATGAATCCACCATTGATCAAAGTGACCCGTTGTTGTCTCATCACCCCTATCCACTAGAGAGAGTCGGTACTACTTCCCTTCTAAATTGTGCCTCCTCCTGAACCAATCTGCACCAAGTTTTCAACTTTTTTTCTTTAAACTTTTAACTTTTCCATCACATCGAACTTTCCTACACACACAAACTTCCAATTTTTCCGTCACATCGTTCCAATTTTATCAAACTTTCAATTTTTGTATGGAATCTCTAAATTTTATTTGGGATCTCGGTGAAGGTTAAAGATCCAATTTGAAATCCCACAAATTGTTGAATGCATGGTACCACATTGTAATACTCTGCCCTTTAAAATCCAAATTGGTATGCTCTCACCTAAAGCTGACCGACATACCACCTCACTAGACACTTATACAGTTTTAATCTTACACTGTATAATTGGGTTAACCCTTTTATTCCGGCAAACCTTTAGGGCTTAGGGTTGGAATCTCTAAAGTGGCCAAATATAACCCTGCTCTTATGCTAAAATTTCGTAAATTGGTGAATATAACACTACCTCTAAAATATACATTAGTACACTCTCACGTAGAGTGGATCTACGTATGCACGATACCTACTTAATTATAATTTCGTCTTCACTTTTGAGTAAAGGATTAACTCAGATATAAGAGTTGTATCGTCAAACTAACCACATTCATCCGTCTATATTTTCAGAATGAAACTAAACCACCTATTACTCTACCTCTAGATCACACGAACCTCACCAATCCCTATTAGCCTACAGGTGATAAACGGGTTGCGGTGTTACACACGTGTCACATTTCACGGTTACAAGATACTCCCTCCATCCCATAATAATAGCAATCTAGAATCGGATATGTCATTTTATAGTATAACGTCTGAACACCCTTCTATTCAGATTCATTGAAATATCTCATCTAATTCTAGATTGCCATATTATGAGTCTGAGGGAGTACTGAACAATGCACTTCAGCGGCAGCCAATACGGATCAGACAAATTTATGTACAACGAAAGGAGAGTCTCGGTAGAACGACCAGGCATAATATGTACACACATGTCATGTTGCCATGCATATTCACACGCATATGGGACGCGGTTTTTCTGCACCTAGCCCATCTGCCGTTCGATCGTTTCCGTGATGCGTGCTGTATTTCTCCCTCGTGACGTTGTTTTTCCCCACCTGAGTTGTATATGTCCGAATCTTGATGCAAATCTGCGGTGGCGATTTCCCCGCGCGAGTCATGTACAAGCCAGGGTGGCTAACTGGCTATTTCTCCTCGAGCCCCGCGACGCCGTCGCCGACCTCGCCGCCGCCGCCGCCGTCGTCGAAGTACTCCTCCTTGACGTTGCCGGCGAGCATGAGGCAGAGGAGCCAGAAGAGTGACGCGTCGAGGTTGAGGAACGCCACTCCGCCGAGCACCCCGGTCTTGGCCGTCGGGCAGGCATACTCCGGGTCGACGCCGTGCACGTTCCGGACGCGGTGCATGGCCTCGCTCGCCGTCACCCACGCCGTCGTGGCTATCCCTGCCACCGTGATGCCTCTGCCACACGAGAAGAGGCTGATCTCAGCTCAGAACACGTACGGCGCGGCGAGAGTTAATGGAGTTCTTGATCGATCACGCGTTTCTTGATTGATTAATTACATGGCGAGATGGAAGAAGACGTAGAGGAGGGTGTAGTCGAAGAGGGCCTTCCTCGGGACGGGCTTGCCGTTGTAGGGGAAGAACACGGCGAGCGCGCCGACGCCGGCGCCGCACGCGGCGGCCACCGCCGAGAGCGCGCCCAGCGCCACCGTCGGGTCCGCCGGGAACTTGCACACCACCACGCCCCTGCCCCTGATCGGCGTCCCGTGCGGCGGCTGCACCGCCCATAGCTTCCCGTTTCAGCTCGCGTATTCGCCGGAGGAAAAAAAACGGAAAGCATCGGCGCGCGCGGCGGCGACATCGCCGGCGTTAATTACCTTGTTGAGCTCGCCGAGGATCGCGAGGAGGAAGGACAGCGCGCCGAAGAACGCGGTGGCCATGCCGAGCTGCGCGCTCTGGCTCACCGCCATGGCGTCGACGACCGGCCGGCCAACCGATGGATCCCCTCCCGCCTTGTCAATCGCCACCTTGACCTGCCACCGCCCGCCTCAATTGGAGACCCTGGGGATAATAATCAAACCATGTCCAAGTTAATTAGCACATCCATGGCATGGCAGAATTTTACACCAAACAATTCAAATCTTGCAGGAATCTGCAGAAAATTCCAGCATTCCAAACAAAGAAAATCGGTATCTGGGATGCCATTTGGATCGAAGCAATCCATGGTGTTGCAGAAAATGGTTCCAAATCAAATGGAGGTTTTGGGGAGAAACAAAGCGAATTAAACTCACGCAAGAAAGAAAAAAAGATGGGACGAGGAAGAAACGAGCCAAGAAAGGATGAACTCGATTAATTTTTGCCGCCTCTTTTGCTTCCCGTTTACCTCAATGAAATCATTTGCAATGTGGGGGTGAGAGCCTCCAACTGAGCGGGGTAACTTGGTGAACAGAGGGGAGAGCCAATAAATATAGGCCTCGATGCATGCCGTTTCCCAAATTTTTCCTCTGCATTTTGGTTTTGCCATATGTTGTGCTCTATACAGGGTGGAACATTTGGATATTTGGATATACAGGATATACTAATTCCAGCTGCTGTTGAAATCTGCAATATTTTTGCTGTTGGATTAATTAGCTGGATGTACCATGTATGAACATGGCCATTGTTAGCGGGGAAATGCATGCATAGTACTATTATTCAGTGTTCACAACTCTGATATCAGATAAAAACCGCTCTTTAATCTTGGATTAATTAGCTGGATGTACCATGTATGAACATGGCCATTGTTAGCGGGGAAATGCATGCATAGTACTGATATTCAATATTCACAACTCTGATACCGGATAAAAACAGCTCACGAGCGGTATCTTCGGATTTTACGGAAACCATTGATGAATCGAAAAAAATACCAATAAAACCAGGAAAAATCTTGCCAAAAAATTAAAACTTAGTTTGAAATATTTCTGAACTTGATAAAAAAACAAGTGGTTGGTGTTTTCAATTCGGTTCGGGAAATCCGGATTTTACGAAATACAAACCGGTTTTCATCGCTTTTTATAAACCCTGTTGCTATTGCATGCCAAGAATGGCAGATTGGTAACTTCTATTTTGACCACTTCTTCCTTTTTCTTTCTATCAAAGTTAGTAATGAACTCATCCAGTTTTTGTTTTTCGTTTGATCACATATAATGTCTGTAATGGTCTATCAGGGAACTGGACTCTTGCAACAATCAAGCCTGGACAATGACGGAGACAAAATAGTAAGCAATCAGATGTTTAGAGGACGATATGCTACTTTAGATTTTGGCAAGATGGTAATATTGCCAAAATTTTGGTATGATTTCTTATGTATTTACCAAGATTTAGCCACAAATTAAACGTAGATATTATTTTTTTTTACAATTTTGTCAAAAAATAGTATGGTTGAAAATAGTAGTAGTAGAGTAAACAACCCCTTACACTATCCTTGAGACTTGACAATGACCGAGACAAAATAATAAGGGAGCAATTATTTAGAGAACGATTATACCAGTTTATATATTTAAAACAAATGGAAGAGGATGAAGAATACAATAAGCAGTTAGATGTGCTATCGTTTTCTCAAGACCAAAAAAAACATCACTACCTTTTGCCGACAAAAAACGACTACCTTTTGCAAACAAAAAAAATTCCGTTGCCGGGACTCGAACCCGGGTCTTTCGGGTGAGAGCCGAGTATCCTAACCAGCTAGACTACAACGGAATAATGTTTTGAGAGGAGAAGTTTACATATGTAAACGAGTACATGACTAGCCCTATTACTACCTGGCCTACTAAACCAATCAAGCGGTTCATGTCCTTCGCCTCTTCCACAGTAAGGAGCACCTAGAACGTAAAGTCAGAAAAACATAGGTAAGTGATATAGAGGACTCATCCTCATGGGTCCGCTTGCTAGAAACACACGCTATCGGTACTAAACATATTTAGAACAAGACACGCTTTACATGCTATCCACTATCCGCTATATCAAGACCCTTTTGAAACATATTAAAATCATGGGGAAAATATTTTATTTATATTTCCAACATTGGCTGTGAACGGGATTTCATTGTAAACTTCATGTTTCGAGCATGCTTGCTGGTAGTTTTATGGTGTAGATCTTTATTTTTGGTGCTGGTGTAGCCACCACCAAAATTTACAATTCCAACAAAATCGATTGGTTTTCACAAAATTTCATGGTTTATAGGGGACTTCGAATGGTTTTTAAAACTAAACAATAAACCCTATTGAAATGGGTGGAACTCCTCGAGTTTTCTCACATAGTAGTATTGTGAACCCTTAGCCACTACATGCAAAACCCATGCTCGAGATTTCAAAGGGAGAGAGAAGGGGAGGGGGTGGTGGAATACTTCTAGAAATTAGTGTAACTAGAACTCACTTATGTGCTATCGTCACCAACTTATGATTATGTTTGGGGAGCTCAAGATTAAAAAAAAAGCAACTAGTGAGTTCGTGAGAATAACGTTGGGGTTTTTCCATTTCTGACTTATAGTTATTTATTTGTAATCTATAATTATTTTTATATATAATTTAGATGAGGATTTAAATTATCTGGAGAAACTAGAGATGCTATAGTTTATATGAAAGAAGTTACTCCATCCGCCCCATATAATATAGATCTAAAACCAGATTAGATATAACATAGTACCATAAATCTAAATATACCTCTTGTACTATGTTATGTCACATTCAATTCTAGATTTCTATATTATAGGCTACTCTCTCCGTACCATATGAGTGCCATTACAGCATATAAGCTTTGTACGCATAGTATAATTCTTTTTCTCCAATTACCTCCCATTTATTTTTTTTCCATTCTTACCCCCCTTAACTACAGATCCACTCTCAATCATTCACATTTAGTGAGAGATATTAAGGTCATTTTCTCTCCTTAATAATTTTTGCTTTGAACTATCAAAAACTCAAACAAACCGCGTCCCGTTTCATATCCATTACACTGCGGGAAATTCAGGCCCAAACAAACCCAGCACGAGCCGAAGCACAAGGACACAAGGTAAGAAGGCAGGAATAAGTTCACTTTAGGTCCTTCAACTTGACGTTGAGTTCAGTTTACATCCTGATACCGCAATGGCAGAGAAGTGGGGAGATGAGGAGGTAAAAATTAGTCACTACATGTGAGTCCTATTATATCTGGTATTGTGGTTTAGGGATGAATTTTTGACCAGTCAAAAAATCTAGGGACCTAAGAGTAAGTTTAATAGTATAGCCAGCTACAAGCTCCAAACCATCTATAATCAATTTAGGGTGTGTTTGAGGATAAGGGGATTGAGAAGATTGGGAAGATACGCAAAACGAGGTGAGCTATTAGCTCATGATTAATTGGGTATTAACTATTTTAAATTTAAAAAATGGATTAATATGATTTTTTAAAGCAACTTTCCTATAGAAAATTTTTGCAAAAAATGCACCGTTTAGTAGTTTGAGAAACGTACGTGCGGAAAACGAAACAAACAAATTCACTCTCTCACCCTCTCGAACGCTGCCTTAATAGCCAATTCATATAATAGATACTTATAAGGCCAGTCCCAACCCAAAACACTAAATATAGTTTCCATAAACTCTACATCATCAAGAAACTAGTACCAGACACTACCCTTTCAATGCAAACACCACTATTCCATACTTAAATTTAATGATACTTATCTCACATGATGTCTTGGATGTTGTGTACAAACTCTTGGTTTCCTTCTCTTTCCTTCTTTATTCACTTGTTACATTATTTTTTAATTCTAGGTGGCAGCTTATTTAATGCTATGGACATCATCCTAATCATTGAGCTGGGAATAGCCTAACATAGTACACAATTAATACCTAGTCCCACTTGTCATACGCACATGTATCTTGAAGTCCGTGCTTCAGCTGGCTACAAATCTATAGCCCGCTGCTCTTCTCTCTTATCTTTTAGAGCAGGTACAATGGCAGACTATTAGCCAACTATAAACATATTTTAATAAGATAAAAGATGAGAGAGAAAAGTAGCAGGCTACAGATCTGTAGCCAGCTGCAGCACGGATTTCAAAACGCAATATATGTATGACATGTGAGAACATATATTAATAGTATAGTAAGCAACTATTGTATAAATTGGCTATTAGATCGGCTATAGATAAATTAGAGCTAGTAGTGGATTATACTATTAAATTTGCTCTTATCTTTTTAAAATATGTTTATAGCTTATAGTCTATTGCTGTACCTGCTCTAAAGTGACCTTAGGACAGTCCCAACCCTCCACCTAGGATGGTGTTTATGGCATTAACTACATTGCTATGTAGGACTTTTAGCTTATGTGGCACTATATTAATTAAGAGAGAGAGAGAGTGAAGAGAGGAAGAAACTGAGTCTCATACAAGACACAGTTTCAACACGAGAACTTATGCACTAGACACTATCAAGTTTTTAATTGGGAGATAATAGTGTCTTCATAATAGATGAAGAATAAATATAATCGGTAGAGAAGAGAGATGATGAATTTATTAATGGACCACTTTAAAAAACCATGGGTTATAGAGTGTAGTTTCTATCGTAAAGTTTTATTGACATGGCACCATAAATACTACTTATAGATACTGTGGGTTGGTATTGTCCTTGTTCAAAGCAGGCAGACCACGGGCCCACGAAGCCACGCCGACCAAACCTCTGCAGAAACAGAGGAAGAGGCGAAAGAGCGGCTCGCCGCCCGACAAATCCCCTCCAGGCCTCCATCCACCTCCGCCTCGCGCCACCTGTGACCCCCTGCACGCCCCGTCACCCGTCACCTTGTCCACGCGCGGCGCGGCTACACTGCACCTGCACCTGCACCTGCACGCAGCACGCGCGCCTCTGCGCCCACCCATGGCTATAGCCAAGCTAGCCCACCCGCGCCCGCACGGCCGCACTCGCACCCACGGGAGAATTCCCGGCCGCGCGGCGCGCGAGCACCAATCTAAAATTGGCACGGCCTCTCCCTCCCCCTCCCCCCCGCATCCCGCGGCGTGTCCTCTCGCCTTCTGCCTTTCCTCCCTTAGCCAGTAGCCCAAATTTACACCGCGCCATTTCTTCATTGGCCTGGAACGACGACGACCACGTACGCCATGGCGCCCGGGGCCACGCTCCTCCTGCGGTGAGGGCACCCACCACCACCACCAGCAGCAGCAGCGGGCTACCTAGTTCGGATCAGGATGGCGGGGGACTACGTGGACGTGCCGCTGGGCGGCGGCGGGCAGAGCACGCTGCCGCCGGTGGCGCCGCTGAAGAAGCAGCCGTCGCGGCTGGCGTCCGGGATGAAGCGGCTGGCGTCCATGGTGCCCGACACGATGAAGCTGAAGCGGACGCACTCCAGCGCGCAGCCGGCGCTGCGCGGCCTGCGCTTCCTCGACAAGACGTCGGCGGGGAAGGACGGGTGGAAGAACGTCGAGAAGCGGTTCGACGAGATGAGCGCCGACGGACGCCTGCCCCAGGAGAGCTTCGCCAAATGCATCGGTGAGTGCTCCTGCACATGCCCCCATGGTGTTCTCCATCCTCCAAAGTGATTAGTGATTCACCACAGCATGAAAAGAGAGACGGTGAAATTGCATTGTTAGCAAGAACACATCGAAAATTGACAAGCTTTGTTTTCCCTGCAAAAAAAAAAGGGGAAAATGTTGTCAAAGCTTTTGTGCATGTGATGGAAAAAGGGGAACAGTTAGTAGATGAGAAATTGGTACAGATCATTCCTAGCTCGTATGTCGATGGTGTTTGTCCAAAATTTCAGCCATTTCAACTGTTTAAGCAGCCAGCCTCCTCCTGCCATCCATGCATACATGTTTGCAGCACTTCTTTGATAAAGTATACATAATCATTCCTATTCACAATTTTATTTTAACAAAAAACGGAGGAAAGAAAATTGGAAAATTTAAGAGGATATAATTGGTCGACCACGGGTTGCACAAAGTTCAGACTTTGGCCCCCCCAAATATAACTCGGAGACAATACTTACCACGTAGCAAGAATAGGATATACTTCCTCCGTTTCATAATGTAAGACTTTCAATCATTGCCCACATTCATATAGATGTTAATGAATCTAGACATATATATATGTGTATAGATTCATTAACATCTATATGAATATGGGCAATGCTAGAAAGTCTTACAATATGAAACGGAGGGAGTACTCGTGCTTACGACATTTTCTTTTAAAAGAAGTGTAGTCAGGTAAATAAATGACATCAGAATAGCAATAAATCCATCCTCTGTATATAAATTGAAGCTCTAAGCTTAGAATGCCTCTGCAACTTAAAGGTATGGCGGATTCTAAGGAGTTTGCAAGCGAGGTGTTTGTGGCATTGGCGAGAAGGAGGAGCATCAAACCAGAAGATGGGATAACAAAGGAACAGCTGAAAGAATTTTGGGAGGAGTTGACTGATCAGAACTTTGATTCACGACTACGAATATTCTTTGACATGTAAAGGTCTACCTTCCTTGTCTTCAATGGAAAAAACCTTATGACTTGCCCCTTGATGAGATTGCTTTGCAATCAGGTGTGACAAGAATGGTGATGGGCAGCTTACAGAGGACGAGGTCAAAGAGGTCAGTTCCCAATCATCTCTGAATTTACCTTTTTTCCACAAAGCTTGTGGAAATGATCTCAATAAGAATTTACCTTTCTCTTTCCATATGCAGGTTATTGTGTTGAGTGCCGCAGCAAACAAACTTGCCAAGTTGAAAAGCCATGCTGCAACCTACGCCTCACTGATCATGGAAGAGCTGGATCCTGATCATCGCGGTTACATTGAGGTACCAAGACATGAAATTATCTCCCTTTTTTTTGACAAACAGCAGCATACAGATATGCTTGTCTCAATGCAGATTTGGCAGCTGGAGACGCTACTCCGTGGTATGGTGACAGCCCAAGGGCCTCCAGAGAAGGTGAAGCTGGCTTCAGCAAGCCTTGCAAGGACAATGGTCCCTTCCAGTCACCGGAGTCCAATGCAGAGGCGTTTCAACAAGACTGTTGACTTCATCCATGAGAATTGGAAGAGGATATGGGTGCTCTCCTTGTGGGCGATCCTCAATATTGCATTATTCATGTACAAGTTTGTGCAGTACAGTAGGCGGGATGCATTTCAGGTGATGGGCTACTGTGTCTGCATAGCAAAGGGTGCTGCCGAAACACTCAAGCTGAACATGGCCGTTATACTCCTCCCGGTGTGCCGAAACACACTAACAAGGCTCCGATCAACAGCACTCAGCAAAGTCGTACCATTTGATGATAACATAAACTTCCACAAGGTACACGTGTGGAACTCTTTGCCATTTCCAGGATTACACAGCCTGACCTCTTTGTTCTGATCACCATATCAGGTTATCGCACTGACGATTGCAATTGGAGCGGCTACTCATACTCTTGCTCATGTAACCTGCGACTTCCCAAGATTGGTATCATGTCCAAGGGACAAGTTCGAGGCCACACTGGGGCCTTACTTCAACTATGTTCAACCAACATACTCATCGCTGGTTGCAAGCACTCCAGGGTGGACTGGCATCCTCATGATCTTGATAATGTCATTCTCGTTCACACTTGCGACACATTCGTTCAGGAGGAGCGTTGTGAAGCTTCCATCACCACTGCACCACCTTGCTGGTTTCAATGCCTTTTGGTACGCCCATCACCTACTGGTGATTGCATATATCCTCTTGGTGCTGCACTCCTACTTCATATTTCTCACCAAGCAGTGGTACAATCGAACGGTATTTCTCTGGCATATGTTTGGCACAACTATTTCTTTTGTGAATTCAGTGGTTGTGCATAATATTGACGCTTGTGTTTACAGACGTGGATGTTCTTGGCAGTTCCAGTCCTCTTTTACTCCTGCGAGAGAACTATCAGAAGAGTTCGTGAGAGCAGTTATGGGGTGACCGTCATCAAGGTAAGCAACATATTTCACATGAATTGCACGATGAGTATTTTCAATTTATTCTAGCTTCTAAGTGTACAAGAATACCATTAATTGACTATCAAATGTGCCATGCAGGCAGCAATTTACCCTGGAAATGTGCTCTCTATTCACATGAATAAACCATCAAGTTTCAAGTACAAAAGTGGGATGTATATGTTTGTAAAATGCCCAGATGTTTCGCCTTTTGAATGGTACCATCTGATCGTCTCTGTCCAAATGTCAGTGTTTATCCAGGCTATGGATTAATAGATTCTTCAATGCTTCCAGGCATCCCTTCTCCATAACTTCTGCACCTGGAGATGACTACTTGAGTGTTCATATCCGTACATTAGGTGACTGGACAACAGAACTTAGAAACCTATTTGGGAAGGTCAGTTGAGCAAACAGAAACAAAAAGAAAAGGAGAATAGTTCAGGCATAATGGGAGCTTATGCAGTATTTATATGCTAAATTAACAAAGTTGCTAAAGGGTTATGCTAATTCATGCAGGCTTGTGAGGCACAAGTAAGTTCCAAGAAGGCTACACTTGCACGACTTGAAACCACTATCATAGCAGATGGTCTGAAAGAGGAGACTTGGTAATTATGCCCTGTTTGTTTCATATTCTACATTCATCTACTTTTTGAAGGAATTTCTATACAATTGTTTCACTAATCTTCCTGACTTTGGTTCTCTTCATTTAGCTTTCCCAAAGTCTTTATAGATGGTCCTTTCGGCGCACCAGCTCAAAATTACAAGAAATATGACATTCTTTTGCTTATCGGGCTTGGAATTGGAGCAACGCCTTTCATCAGCATACTGAAGGATCTCCTGAACAACATAAAATCCAATGGAGTAAACTGCTTAACTATAGCAAATTCTTTCTTATACAGTAAACCAAGTGCATAATATCTAAAGTGAATTGGATTCAACAGGATGTGCAAAGCACGCATGATGCTGAGTTAGGCTGCACCTTTAAGAGCAATGGGCCAGGAAGAGCTTATTTCTACTGGGTCACCAGAGAGCAAGGTTCCTTTGAATGGTTTAAAGGCGTGATGAATGATGTTGCTGAAAGTGATCATGATGTACTACTCAGTCTAACTGCTTCAGTGCAACTTCCATGTTCTCTCCTTCAGATTAATAAATAGATACTAACATAATCACTCACTATACAGAATGTAATAGAGATGCACAATTACCTGACAAGCGTGTATGAAGAAGGAGATGCAAGATCAGCTCTGATTGCCATGGTCCAATCACTTCAACATGCCAAAAATGGTGTGGATATCGTCTCTGGCAGCAAGGTTTTTCCCACTTCTATCCTCCTGCAAAAATAAAAATAAAAACTAAATCACATGTGCAAAATTTGATTCAATATTTCTCGCTTTATGCAGATCCGGACACATTTTGCAAGGCCGAACTGGAGAAAGGTATTCTCAGATCTGGCCAATGCCCACCAGAACTCTCGTATAGGTCAGTTCTATGTGATAAATCTCAAGTGATGGTTCCTAGTTTACAGGATAGCAATGCTGAGATGTTTCATAAATCTGCAGGCGTTTTCTACTGTGGGTCTCCAACACTTACGAAAATGCTGAGGGATCTTTCACTAGAATTCAGCCAGACGACAACGACTCGGTTCCATTTCCACAAGGAGAACTTCTAAGACCAGACCAGGAAAAAAACACCAAAATAATCGCAGGCGCTCTTATATAGAACAAGAAATTTTAGCATCGGTTAGCAACTCTTTCTGTGTAAAGTTCCATCAAGAACTGGAACATTGGTGTACAAAGGTACGTGGGCATTAGTTAGTGCTGCTGCCGTTTATAGATGGAGGAAAAAGAAAGGCATGTATTTTCTGAGCAATTTGATTGTTTCTTAGAATGTACTAGAAACAACGTGCGGCTTTGCCGCGCCCAATTTAGATTAGGCCAATCTATTTTGTCAGTGGCCTTGTTTAGGATCAATGGTTTTTTTTCTTAACATATTGAACCAAAAACCTAAAGAAATAAATTAATAGACGTTGGGACTTGAGATCAGAAGAGGAAAATAAAATGTTCTTGAACAAGAGCAAGAAAAAGGACTCAGTAGAACCATTGGCAGGGGATTTATGTATTTGACAGGTGAGTATTAATTACACCATTGCTAACATGAAAAAAGAGTGAGAATCCCTTATGTGTCACTCCAAATTAACCGGTTCCTTTATATGCCCCTTCAAATTGTCTCTTCCTTTTTATGCCACCGGTTCAAGTTTGTCCTCCCTTTTATGCCATTGCCGTCACTCCACCGTCAGTTGACCGTTAACTTCATAGTAAAAAGACACATTTACCATTGAGAGTTGGTATATAACCAATGATAGGTATTTTAGTACTAATATATCTACTGGATACAACATATGAAAATTGATTTTGTTTTTCAATCACATGCAATTTTAGCCATCACTATCACAAACAAATTTTCAATACAAGTATGAAACATGCAGCTTTCCAACAATATTTTTATTACAAAGAGCATTTTCCACTTGTTCTGACAAAACTTTGTTCACTCAAAAAGGATTTAAAAAAAATTAGTTATGATTTTTTTGAAGTTTACACATTTTTTAGTTGAGATGGCATATTGGTCATTTATGAAAAAAAACTAATATTTGACTAACAGTCAACAAATGCTATAGTGCTGGGAGTAGCATAAAAGGATAGAAAAACTTGAACTAGTGGTGTATAAGGGAGAAGCCAATTTTGAGTGGCATATAAGAGAACTAACCAATTTCTAGTGGCATATAAGGGATTCTCTCAAAAAAGAAAGGAATGCCTTGAATGGATGCTTTGTCAGCGTTAAATTTTGCAATTCCAATTTGTTTTTCTTCCGCATTTTTGAAAAGAAAAAAATTATATATTAAAAGAATACACAAAAAACGCCTACTTCGATTGGTTAAATATTGCATCTAACTGTACAGGTATAATAAAAAGCAACCTTACAAAATCTTCATGGCAATGGTAGAAAAAATTCAAATGTCAAGTACTTCAGAGGTCAAATTAGACAGTACTTCAGTACCAGGCTAGGAAAATAATCAAAATTAAACATTTAATAATATGGTTCCTTATCAACTTGAGCATGATCACTGATCTTGTTGCCTAATAACATGATTGGTTTTTTTTTATTTCTTCAAAATAATGCCAGTTCAGTTTTAGAATTCAATGCTCAGTATTCAGTATCATGTCATTGCATGAATAGAAGAGTACGCAAAGAGACCATTGCCAAAATAAAAGAAAGTGCATGAAGCTACGATTAATCATGGTACTAATTCAACCATACTTGAGTTTCGACAGCACTACAATGTATGAGAAAGATCTCCATGGGCTATTTATTAGTTTACAAATTTATTAAAATTACAAAACGATGCATGAATTTCCAGCTTATTTTCCACTTGAGTGCTGAGAAAATGCAGAAACAATCTGTAATATAAAGTAACATAATAATGCTAACGACATAACAGTTCTAGTACCAATTTCTGCTCTCTGTAATATGAATTTAATTTAATTCTAATATCTAATTGTTCTCAGATATGACATAGTTTCTGGAATAAGCTTTATTCAGATCAATTGAAGGCTGCAAGACAATGAGTTCATCGACATCAGTTGAAAGTCGAATATGTGCGCACAAATTCTAAAGTCCAATGAACCAAAGTAATGAAAGTACTTGTCTTCATTTTATCCCTCCAGATGTCTATAAGAACTCTGGAAATCCTTTTTTTAAAATAACTTTCACTTCTTATTCTCTAAAGATCACGTTTTGAGTGCATTTCAGTTTACACAAAGAGCCTGAGGAATTGATTATTCGTTTAATAATTTGGTATAGCGTTTACCTCAAACATGAGCAGAATATGCTGGTGCCTCCTAATCCTCTTGTACCAGTAGATTCTTAGTAGATAAATGATTGCAAAGAAGCCTGGTCTTACGTGTTGCACATTGTAACTTATATATGCAGCTGAACTTTACCGTAGATAAACTTTACCGTTTCTTTTAATCTTTAATCTTGCACCAAGTAAGCAAGGATTCTCTCTCATTCATCTAAGTATCTAATCACCATATATGTTTTTGCAGTTCATGTCTACATAATTTTTATTTGTGTCATTTTTTTTTATTTGTGTCATTTTAAAATTGTACATGATAATTGGTCCAAATCAGTAAAAAACTCTTGATATGAATTGTATCCCCAACCTCATCTTACCACTTAAGGTTATCATGAGATAGCCCCATCTTGACGTTTGCTATTTTAAACTTCTGAAATTACATACAACAGATAGGCAATTTACCGATTTAAATTCAGATGGTTACAAAGAAACCCAAGAAACTGACAGAGACTACATTTTGGTCTAGGAGCATTCGCATGGCAACATATTAATAAGCATTATTAAACTCTCAGTGGTCACAGACAAACAACATGATGGATTCACATCATAGGTTCTACTAATCGTTGGCAGATGACATTGTTGAACTATTTTCCACTAATAAGCATTACAACGAACAGGCAGAGTGCAGCAGGGGATAGTAGTTTGCAATTCAGAGGGGTGAGACGGTGGATGACCTGGAATAGCCGATGGAGTAGGTGAGCCAACCTGGAGAAGTCAATGCTGCGATGTGGGCGGAGGCGGCGCCTCGGCTGCCGGTGGCGGAGAAAGTGGACGTTGCGGCTGATGAGGAACACGTGGAGAGCGGCGACGCACCAGAAAATCATGGGGGCGAGGCAGCGCCCTCGATTCAACGACCGCGTGCCGGCAGCAGGGCGGGCTGTTGGCTCGGGATCGGCAGCCGCCCGGTGACAGCGAGGCGACGGCCGCGGTGTGGAACGAGCGGAGATTGGAGCCTTGGCGGCGGATGGGAACGGGTGACGAACGAAGTATTTACTGGAGTATGGATACTCTACTCTTTTGCATTAAACTCCCTCGAAAGATTATATTTTACAACAAGATCCACCGCACGATATATCACCGTAGATGCGTGATCTGACGGCTGTGCGCGAGGGACCAAACCCATGAATCCAGTCATGCCACGTGGCCTCGCTAATTGCCCTCTGATTTGTACAGATTTCGATAGTACAGATTTGCAAGCAATGAGACTGCTTCTTAGAAGAAACGAGAGAATGAGATTTATTAGAATATTGTGCGTTTTTGAAATACTTAAGCCCTACTGGAGTTCAAGAATCTCCATAAGGCCGTTCGATTTCCACAAAAAAAAAACGAAAAAGAATTCCAGCATTCGCAAGGCTTACGTCTTGCTCTTGCATTCTCCAGGTAGGACCGTGGGAATAACAGAAAGTATCGGATTTCCATTTCATCCTAAGCAACCAGAAACTCAGGCCTGCCTGCCCATCCATCAGGTAATCGTCGACTCGTCGTAGCCTCTCAGGCTATCACAATCTTTTCCGAGCCACAGAGAGAGGCGCGAGGCCTGTGCGGCATTTCGCCGAGCAGATGGCGGTATGTGAACGCCGCGGCGGAAGAGGGTGATCGTACGATGATGGAGCGCGCGGGAAGGGAAGAAGATGGCTAATGGAGAGGAAGTAGAGGAAGGCTCACGGCTTTACCTTTGATGCCGCCGCCTTCGCCGGCGGTGGAGAGAAGCGGCCGGCCGCCCGCCGCTGACGCGAACGGCGAGAAGGAAGTTTGGACGGCGGCCATCAGGCTCAGCCACACGATCAAGTTTCCGCGGCCCAGATCGATCGAGTCGGCCCGAGTAACGGTTAAACGGAGGATTTTTTGCACGGAAGACCCTATACTAAAATAGTCCTACCGTTTGGGACCTCAAATCCCGGATCGCTACCAACGATAGCGATCCAAAATGGACAACTACCAGCCGACCGATCAGGATTGAACGCCTTAGATGGAGAGCTACGTCTACGAGAGGTGGAGGTTATTTTGCATGGAAGGCCCTGCACTATTGTACGATTTACTGCTTGATCCCCGGTTTTGAATCGTACAGAACCATACTCATTTTTTGGAAGGGTATTTTTTACCCGGCCTCTACATCTAACATGATATATGTAGCTTTTTTTAAATTAGAAACTTAACATATTAAATAGGGAAGATAGCCCTCAAATAATCCAATCTAAAATTTGTTTCTATGGAGATTTGAACACCTTGGATGTGTTGACGAAAAATCCACGCTTACTAACTCTGATGACTCTAGGACTTAAATTTTTTTGACATTAACAGTGCTACTCATATCACTACAACCACTAAGCTACTTACCCTACTCATGTACTGTATGTATATGTATACGTATATACACACTTACGTATGTATAGGTATATACGTATATGGTATACTCCCTCCATGTACTTTTGATAGTCATATTTCATCTTGACACACAGACCAAGGATAAGTAGTTTTACTTATCATTCATTTAAGCATGCTGCTAGTCATTCATCGTAAACAAGCGATTCATTAATATTACCTCCGTCTCAAAATAAGTGCAGCCATAAGTTTCCGCGCCCAACTTTGATCGTCCGTCTTATTTGAAATTTTTCTATAATTAGCATTTTTGTTGTTATAAGATGATAAAACATGAGTAGTACTTTACTCGTGACTTGTGTTTTTCAATTTTTTTAGAAAATTTTCAAATAAGACGAATGGTCAAAGTTGAACGTGGAAAATCATGGCTGCACTTATTTTGGGACGGGGGGAGTATTTACATTTCTCAAAACCCATGTAGCCAATCATATGTGTAAGAATGAAGAGTCATGCATTAAATTTGAGAAAATCATTAAGATGATAGGTTGTTGGATTGAAATAAAACTATCAAAAATAAAATTTTCGGTTTTGGAAAAGTAGGTAGAGCGAGTACTTTCCATGTACAGTAATCGATTTGCGGGCTTTCGTGGGCCCAGGCGACCAGATCGGCCGGCGGCGAGGGGGACCGCATCGCCGTGCTTCTCCGTCGCCGCCGCACCACTTCGCCGAAGCTGGAGGCGTTGGCCCCCGCGCGGTGGCGCCGGGGGAGGGCGACGGCGGCGGAACGCCGGCGAGAAGCGCGCCGCTGAGCCGTCGATCGAGGCGCCCCCGCGCAGCAGTAAGTACTACGCCCTGTGCGTTGCGGGAGGCGGGAGAACATGGCTGCGGCCGTGGAAGGCACCGGGCGTCGACGTCTGCTGCGCCAACCCCGGCGGCCGCATCCTTCTCCGGCGGGCCGGCGCACCGCGCGCCGCAGGCAGCCGGTTGGTGGGGAAAAGGTATACCGTATACCTGCTGCATGAAATCTCCTTTCCTCTAAGAGCCGAAAAATTCACTAAATTACACTACAGTTCTGAAATCTGTAGCAGCATTTGTACGGTAATGACATCGATGGCACTGACAAACAACATTTCAGATTTTCATCAGCTTATATCAGATTGCATAGTCTCTGAGGCGCACCAATGCTGACATTACAATCTACAAATCACTTTCTGATTTTTGATTTGCACGTTTGGCTGTCGTATGGTGACGGCATCAGGAGAAAGAGCACAATACCTACACTACACTTCACTTATACAACACTAAGTCACTAATCCTAGTACTTATACTGTGAAGTTCGTTTGACCGTCCCAACAAATATTGGAAAGACATCCACTCTTAAATATATATTTTTGTCCAGCAGAACATTCTTCCTAGAATAAATTATCTGAGACTAGCCACTTGGCAGTGGGGGATCCTGAATTGGGTGTCATGAACAAGCCTTGCATGATTTACCATTTGGTCACAGGGACCCCTTTTATGTTCTGATCATGCACATTATTATATTTGAATTTTAGGTGAATATTCCATGCATCTTTTACGTATGGTCTCTCCACTTCCGTTGAATACCGCAACACTTTCTGACCTTATTCTCAAATAAAACTTCATTCAGCCCTGTTTAAGCTTTAATTGGACCAATTGAAATGAAGAATTTCCAATTTCCGACAGAGATCTGTCGAGTGCACAAAGATTGTGTATCCTTATCGTGTCCACAATCAAGAACTAATAATTGTAATTGGTGAAGGGTTAGTAGGCCAGCTCCTAATTTTCTTATCAGAGTCAACATTAGCATCCACAGGCACTTTTGTTCATGCCATGTGTTCTTCCCTCACAATCTCCTTATGATTGATTTGTCCACGGGAGAATTGCCATCACTTCGGTTCTTGCTTCATTTCTTCTCTGGGTAATGGAATAAGGTGTGAGTGAAACACCTCACATGATGCCTTTCTTCTCCCTCCACTTGAGAAAGCAAATTGTTCCTGTAATTTGAAATCGGCCGGCTTGCTGAGTTGCTGACTGTGCTGGTAATTACCGGCAACATGCTTTGCTCCTAGCATTATTGATTATCTTGTTTTATTTTTTTTTTCCACATCACATAAATGAAACAGTGTTGGGAGTTAAATTTACTAGCACAGGAGCCAACTAATCTTGTACCAGGCACATTCATCAGAATTATATATATGCAGGCTTAGGCTACACAAAAGCTTGTACTAAACAGTACTACTAGTTAGACTTGTCATCATAGTGAAGTTAACAAAGTTATCACTTATCAGTGCATCGTACTTGGCATTAGCGGCCGACAGAGAATCCGCCAGCCACACTCCCCACCTCTAGGGGAGGGGAGTGACAGTCAAGTATCCCTTCATTCTCCCTCTACAATGCAGCTCATGCATAGCCTTTTGATGGAAAAGCAGAAATTCCAGAGAGGCAGCAAGAGCATACCATTTTGATTAGCTCACCACTGGCTCTCCTGGTTGCCCTAAAGTAAGAAGTAGTGTAGTACACTTTTGTAGTTTTGTTGCTAATCTATTCGGCTAATTCCTACTATATTGATTTTGGAATCTTGTGTTCTTTGGATTTACTTACCTTTGTATTCCTGCAAGGGTCAAGTGCTCAGGGGCGGATCTACAGTATAAGCGTCAGTGTCAAGCGACACCGATGACTTTCGGCAAAACCTATAACAAAACTGCTTATCCATATACTATAACACTATGTTCTAAGTATAATTAGCATACTATGACACCGACAGACACGTTATGACACCAACAAACTGATTTTCTGGATCCGCCACTGCAAGTGCTGACAGAGTTATTGCAGACTCGCAGTCCGTCTTCAGGTACATCTGAATTGTTTACCCATTACAAACATGCATCAGAGCTTTCGATATTTATTGCATCATGTACTGAAAATTTTCTATACATTAGCGTATGGTACATTCTATGACAAGTTTAAGTTGCTGATACAACAATAGAAGCATTGCAACTTTTCATGGAATCTCATGACTAGTGACAATAAGAAATATCTTAGGACTGTAGGGAGACGAGATAGCCGTATGCTAGTTGCAAGAGGCATCGGTTTCATTCATGCAACATTGGGCCGACTGTAAAAAGCTTACTCATTGCTCTTCTCATCATTGAGTCACAATGCTTGGATTCCCTCTTGACCGATCTTTTGATATCATGGCAACCTCTGGTGCTGCACCTTTGCCAGTTGCAAACAGTTTGGAGGGTAGTTCTTGGTCGTCCATTACTTCACTGAAGATTCCGAAATCCAACAAAATTCAGGCCGTTCTTCAGAAAGAAGCAAGCACTGCAGAGCTGAACTCTGCTTCATTGGGTGCTCTTCATGCCATTTTTAAAATTTCTTTATAGGCTACATATCTAGGACAACTCCTGCTTTATTCTTGATGATACTCATTTGCTGCATTTGAACGGTTTCAGATGGTCAAAAAGGAAGGCTGCTGAAGATTGGCTGCATTTGGGCTCTTAGGAATCGATATGTGCCTGCAGAAAGATCGGTCAAGATTATTCCTCACGGTTAATGCTGCACTGGCTGTTCATTTGGTTAAATTTTGCTTGATAGCAGTAGGATGTTTAGAGCTGCCAGCTTCAGGCTTCCGTAGTGCCGTGTTCAAGAAATCAGTGTGTTGATTCTATGACTGAAATAGTTTGCAAGACATGGATAGTATATAGAGAAAATGTCGCTGCTTTTGCCAATCGCATCATCAAGGCAGCAAAGCTATTCCACTATCTTGATTCTATGACAGTTGAAAGAGATATAAGCATCTACGTAACTTAAACCGTGTTATTCCAGACAGTGTAAGCACCAAGATCTCCGATGGCCAAACCGGCCGTGTGACCGTATTCGTACCAAATAAAAACAGAATTACTTTTTCCTCGAAGAATTCGTATTGGTAGATTAAGATAGTAATAAATATACAATTTCAGGATCTACTTTGGTGGATGTTATTTTCGATGTTCCCCTTCTCTGGGTTTGGTGTTTGTACTTTTATTTTTCTAAATGAAGTTAGGCAGCTTCTGCCTTTGTTTTTCAAAAAATAAATTTTACGGTCCATGTGAAAGTACCGAGAAGTTAAATATCAGAATCTACGACATACTCCCTCCATCTAAATAAAGACAAACTCGGGCTATATATCTAAACATGATGTAGCAAGGATTTGTTTTTTTTAGACAGAGGAAGTATATAGCACTCTCAAGATGGAGATGGCCAGGTGCATCTCCCATCTCCAGGATGACAATCGACAAGATCAAACCTCCCTAGAAAACCATAGTGGCAAATCTGCAGAAAAATGAGGTGCCACACTGATTGAGCCAAGCCAAGGTTGCCATGTCAAAGCACTCCTATTGGTAATCACAGATGTCTACAAATTCAGAATTAGGGACGTATAGCACTTGCAAGAAGAAAGATATCTACCTGCCTCGCCTGTGTTACTGCTATCAGAGACAGTCAGACGGTGACCGGCACCTTGTAACTTGTTTAGAAAAGAATAATGATAAGGAAATATCCCCTTTCAGACATCTCATTGGTTAAATTTTTAATTTTTAATTGTTTGGAAATTTTTTTAAATTTTAGATTGTTTGGATTCTCCTGATCGGTTGAAAATGCTTGGACTCCTATTCTGTGTTCACAACTGCTTACATTGTGGATAAAAATTTAAGTCTTAAAAATGCTTATATTTGAGAACATGGAGTACCAATGAAAGGCAATTTGCCATATGTAACAAGACAGGAAATTTCCGGCAGGCAGGTACACACACCCCTTGGCTGATTGGCTCAGTGAGCTCCTGGGGTCAGCTACTTGCCATTGCCACTTTGGCAGTGAAAAAAAAAACAGAGAGAGAAGAGATTAAGCAAGCATGCCACGCACTAACCACAGGGGCGACCAACATGAGCCGCCACTAACGAGCAAATTGGGAGCAAGACAAAAGTTGCAGCACTCAAGACTTTCTTCAAATTTCAGGTGTGACAAAGCAAAACCATGGCCAAACTTCTATCGGAGAAAGATATCAAAGTAGTACTAAATGCCTACTAAATTGCTAATCCTGACCACACAAAAACAACAAGCTGGTTTTTCTTGGCTTGGTTCACGAGAGGGTCTATTTCTTTTCCCTTTTTTTACCCTTCTCTTTTCTTAGCTTCTATAACTAATTTAAGGCGAAGTTACACTACGGCGACAAGAAGGTCAGCGACGCCACTCCGACCACCGCACTGTCCACGGCAGCCGCCGCTCGGTTGCCTCCCCCCGCCTTCCTTGCACCTGGCAGCGCCAATCAGCTGCTGCCGGCGTGTGTGGCCGGACAGGTCAGATCAGCTCAGGGTCAGGTCCCTGAGCACATGTCAGCGATGCTGGCCCACAGCACAGCTCGTAGTCCTCGTCGTCGCCGTCGACGGCGACGTCGAAACCAAGCTGCTGCTTCTGCTGCTGGTGCTGCCAATTGGCCGCGCCAGCTGGCGTTCCCCACCACTGGCTCTGGCTCTGGTTGTCGTAGCAATTGCTGCTGATACTGTTGGTGAGGCCGCTGTAGGCGCAGTATCCATAGCCATTGCCGTACACCTCGGTGTCCAGGCCGGCCACCGCATCGGCCTCGGCATCGGCCTCGGTTTCGGCGTTCCTCGCGAAGCGGCCCTGCACCCTTGGCCTGCTATCTGCCAGCGTCTTCCTGCAGGCATACTGGAAACGGCCAGGGGATGATGATGATGATGAGCTACAGTAGCTGCCATGGTCAATTGCTTGCAAGGGAAATGGAAATGCGGTTTTGTAGGCCAGTACAGTGATCTTCTTGTGGAAGTTCCTCTGTTGGCGCTTGACGCGGTACCTCTCGATCCTCTCCTTGCGTTCCTCGGCGCTGTAACGGCCCACCTTCTGCGAAAACGGGCCGCCGACCTCCTGGATGCAGATGTCACCTGAAAACGGCGGCGGTGGCGGTGGCGATGGCGGTACATTCATCGCCTGTTGTGCATCAGCATAGGGTTAAGAAAGTGAATTTACCAAAAGTGTTTGTTAATGGCTACAATTCCAGCTTGAGATTTGGGTTGGGGTTACATTACCTGCAGGTCGCCGGTGCTGAAGACACGGCGCAGGGTCCCGGAGCTGAACTCCAAGAGATCGCCGGAGGATGATGAAGTGGAGGAAGAAACAGGTGGGAGGGGCTGCAATTGGCAAGCTGGAGCAGACGAGTAAGAGAATGCGGCATTACTGTTGAGGAGGTCAGACAACCGGTGGTGAAGGAGGGAGTGCGAGCTGGTGCTCCTGTGGATGTAGAAGGAAGGGAGGGAAGAGTAGTAGGAGGGAGGCGGCGCCGAGCCCGCAACATTGGGAAGAGAGAACATGCTGCCCTTGTCGTCGACGAAACCGCCGCCGCTGCCAGGAATTTCAGTTGGAGCTGTGGGCAGAGCCGAAGAGAAGCTCAGTGCATGGTGCATGGAGGAGTCACTGTAGGTTGGTGGCGACGAGGAAGAAGAAGGATGGAACATGGCTTTTGAACTGTGGATCCCTTTGATGTGTTGGGAGGCTTATTGCAAGTGAAGGGGATTGGTATAAAAAGACAAAGTTAAGTGTGTGCAGTGTATACTATGCACCAAAGGCAGTAGGGCCACTCATTTTAACAAGGGCATAAAATTCCTAACATTACAGCTCTAAGCTAATAACAGCCAACAATCATCAAGTCAAAAGGATTATCAGATGCATGAATAAAAGATCATCATGTCTAAATAGAAGATATACCATGTCATGTACACCTAAAATGATCATTTAGGTGTACACCTAAATGATCATTTAGATGCAATTGTACTCATGTCTAAATGATCTTTTTTGGGGGGAGTACGCATAAGACTTGCATATCTTTGTATTAAGATGGTATATCTTCTATTTAGATATGATAATCTTTTATTCATGCATCTGATAAATTGAAAAATGATCATTTTTCAAAGATAATACAACTTGAAAAATGATCATTTAGGTGTACATGTCTAAAAAGATCATCATATCTAAAAAAGATCATTTAGACATGTACACCTAAATGATCATTTTTCAAGTTGTTACACTAGATCGCACCCACCTACCAAGTTTATATACCGTGGACGCAATTTACTCTAAAATAAAATATGTATGTGTTACTGTGTGCTCCAAGTAAACAATATCAGGCCTATTTGATAATCAAATTTGCCATTGAGAATCACTATCATGTTTGCTCATCTACTGTTGAGCTGTATGGCAAGGCAAAGTTGTCCCCCTTTCTATATAGCTAAGACATTGGAAATGTAGTTGAAAAAAAGGACATTGGAAACGAGAATATTTTCCAACAAAGCAAAAGATGTTCAAAATCTAGCTGCTTTGATAAAAGACTAAGAAGCATGCTGAATTTAAGAGTTGAAGAATGAACAGGTGTCAGACCCATAGCTAAGGAATATGCTCCAACCATACATGTATTAAGAAAAGGAAAAGGTGCCATCAATCCTTCTGTATTAAGAGATGAACGAAGGTACAGAAAACCATCTGCTACTGCTATTTTTGTACGTGGACCTACCGCGAGCATGTATATACCGGTGATCTTACCAGGAATGGTAGTTTTGAAATCTTCAATCAAATCACAAGCTCACAGCAGTCACAGCCTGAACTTGTCCCTCCCTGATACACATGAGAAATAAGAAGCTCCTACCTTTTTCTAAGAAACCTACTTAAAGAATTCCATAGCACATTTTCAAGAACTAGGAAACAGTGGACTTCAATTATTTTATTTATGTATTGCACTGCACATATTTTTTTAAAAAAATAAAAGAGTTCAGTGAGCCAATTATGAACAGAATTTGGGACAGTAACAAGCAACAGGTTTCAAATATAAATGCACAGCTCACATATACTTTGGTCCACGAGAATCACCAAGGCAACAGGACTAGCAACTAACATATGGAGAAGGGATAGAAAGGTGTAGAAGACATACTGTAGTTGATATCCGTATACTGCTTGCTACAAGGAAACTCAAGCCCGCCTTTCTCAACTTCCAAAGGTTTCAATTTTAATCCTTAAACAGAGTCTAGAGGTTTCCCAGCAGTCCTATCTTTGATTCTGTACAATGAGATCCTGGTTCTGTAGCCAACATGAAAGCATCACTATTGCAGCAATTTGCAAGAGTTCCATCTAAGGTTGGTGTCATTTTCAGATATCTGTAGAACTATCCATAATTAGATATTTGACTATAAGAAAGTAAGAAACAGGAACTTACCACAATACCACTCCAAGGATCAGAAGAGCTTTGAGAAAGCTGGTGAGCAGACTGGAAAACTAAACAGTTCCCCCATAAAGCAAAGTAGCACACTATGCATGGAACTAGAAACAGTGAGTGTATTGTGGATAGAAAAGGATTGGTCACATCTGATAATTGACAGCCCATTTGTCTCCTCCTAGAAAATCTTACTGTTCATAGACAAGTGAACGGCCAAGGTAGTTTTAACTTCATACAATGCATTTTGTATCATTAATATCAGACATACCTGATCAAATCCACCCAAGGTAAGACCAAAGACCTAAGACTTGCAGTAAAACTATTAAGAGACAAGAGCATCTAATGAAACAAACAGCGTCCACCATTATTCCATGAAAAAAAAGGTGCTACAGAAGAAACTAAATAGAATTTCAGTAGCACAAGAAACTTACAGTTTCCTTTTTGTGATGTTAACATGTCAAAATATGAAATTTATATTGAATCATGACATGAACCATACTGTCAAATACAATAAGTCAATGGACACTATTGTCAGGCAACCTGCCACTAGTTGAATCATGCATGCAAGAAAGGAATTGCTACCCAAGATTTGACAAATGAACCATTTTGCTTGGTACCATGCAAAAAATCATAAAGTTCGAAGAAAAAAAAACATGTGAGAAAGGCGTGTGGGCCTGGGACCACACATCATTTTCACATGCAAGCCCTCGTTTCATTCTCACATGCAATAGTATTTTCCAATTCACACATGTTTGAGATTGCACTTACCTATGTTTTCTTAAATTGGAAGGATATTGTGCATATCAGCAATTCTAAGTTCTACAAGTTTGTGCACAGCAAGAAATTTCATTTGATCTGAATTTCCATTCATTTGCCACATGCCCACAATACACAGACTAATTTCATAGTTTCCTAAACATGGCTAGAAGATTAACAATGTCATTAACTCATGATATGATACACTTGGGATATAGCAAAATAGTTGTACCACTATTTTATATAGGCATTATCAACTTGACCTCAATTTGGCAATTGAAGGCACTAGAATAAGCACAGGTTCTCCCAGTAACAGGAGAATTATAATGAATTTAACATGATACATTTCCATCAGGTTTGGTTCTGGCAGTAAGGTCAGATAAGCAAGCTAACAATGCAGAAATGAGCGGACAGGGTGAACCAAATTTATATTAAGAGATGCAGGGTTCTTTACATTTAAGGTCTATGAGAAACTGCATATACCACAAATCAATTGACAGGTACACTGAGCTCTGTTCTGTATTAATTGACAAAAGAAAGTTGATGATCCAACCATTCTCATCTACGACCAGCCCTTGAGCCACTGTGATGCTTATGCACCCCAGGACCCATGCATGAAAAGAGTGATGGTTTCTTTGGCTTCGTGCCGAACAGGAAAGTTCTAAGGGGAACTCCAGCTTTCGTTGACAGGTTACGGAAGTTTTGCTGAGCTCGGTTGCTTCTTGCTATAGATAATTCAAGATTTTCTCGGAGCTTCAAGAGCACCCTGCCAACCTCCACTTGGAGACCTCTTACATGGTCCAGCCCAGCTTCTAGCTCTTTAGCGACTTTGTTATTCTCTTGTTTCATATTAAGCACCTCTCCTTGGAGTTTTGCAGCTTGGAAAGGGGTGAAGTGAACTTCATCGCTTTTATCCAGAGTTGCGATCTTTGATATCTCCTCTTGTATGCCACAGAGTGATGAGAACCTGTTCTCTAGTTCTCCTTTTAATAGCACATTTTTTTCTATCCAAACTTGAAGATCTGTGTTCAAATCCCGGAATTTTTTTTCTAGAACAGCTGACTCCAGCTTTGCTACCTGATAACTGATAGGAACTCCATCTGCACCACACTGTGCCTGTGCATCAATCAATTTATCCATCTCAGTTTTTAGCTTGTCAAATGATGTTTGGAAATTCCGTATTTGATGATATGATGTGCTAAACCTCAACCAAAACCCCAAGTTATTCTCCAACACCCTGTCAATCTCTGCTCTAAATTTTTCCTCGGAAATTGACGAAGCAAGTTGCTCTTCAACTTGGCATTGCTTCATGTACTCCTCTATTTCTGCAATCTCTTTGTCTTCGGTGACAGGAGTGGTGCTTATTTTGGAAGTTTCTTCAGACTTGTCCACATTCTCAGGAGCAGGGGCATTCATCTTTCTCTGCAAAGAACTTAGCATGCGCCGAAGAGAGTGAATCTCCTCATCTTTCATTGCATTGGCACTCTTCAGATCCTTCAGCTCTGACATTGACCTTGAATGGTACTCTTGATTTGTCTTCTCAATTTCTGACAGCTTTTGCTCTGTACCCTTGTAGCTCTGAAGGACAGATGCATACCCCTCTAATAAAATCTTGTCCTCACCATCAGATCCATTTGTGTCAGGATGTTGCTGCACCAAAGGACCCTCGGAGCCTTTATCTTGTTTCTCCACTTCATTCTTTGAACCATCTATTGAGTCGGATGTTTGTTTCTTGGCATACTGACTTGTTACCTCTGAATCTTCTTCTTGACAACTTGACTCTTGGGATGAATTCATGAAACCACTGTTTTGGGGCTCAGGTTCATGTAATTTTTCTACAAATTCAGCAAGTTCACTGCAGGCTGCATTCATTTCTTTATGAATATTCTGTGTCCCATTTTGTATGGAGTTTCCAAGATGTTGGACTGCTTGCAAAACCTCTTCAACTTGCTTCAATCTGTCTACCAGCTTACTGGAATCAGCAACCAAAGCCGACTTCTCTTCCTCCAAGGCTTGCAGGCACTTGTGAAGGTCGTCTATCTCAGTCTTCATTCTATTGATCTGAGCATTCTGTGAAGTGGTAGCAAGCTCTAGGTCGATTACCTTCTCCACAAGTCGGTCAACCTTATCTGCTAAATCAGTGACCGATACCCCTGGGTGCAATTCAATTAGTTCTTTGACCTTTTGGCATACTTCCTGCAGGTCAAACCTGATCTCATTCTGAACAGAATCATCAACATCCCCAGATGGCATTGCATGGATGTATTCTTTGTCACTGTTATCAGGTTCATCATTTTGCGTATGAGGCTGCCCACACTCAGCTTTGAAGGTATCAAGCTTCTTCTTTGCTTCAATGAATCGTTTAAACTCAGTTCTTGCCTCTTCAGATGATCTACGTTGCTGGTCCTGTAAATTAACCAATGTATCCTCGCAAGACACAATGGCTCGTGCAGCCATCAATGCCCGGGCTTCATTGTCTTCAATGGCCGCGCCAGTGCTAAAAGCATCCTGCAAGCTGCAAACTTCATCCTGCAACTCCACCACCTGCTTCTCAATGTCCAGATACCTGCCCAGCGCGCTGTCATAAGAGGTCTTCAAGAACTCCTTCTCAGTCTGCAGCACCAGGATTTGCTTTTGCAGCTTGTCGATCTCCTCCTGTGCATTTTCCTTGTTCATGTGGGAGGTGATCCTCCGGTGCATCTGGGTCCTCTTCGGGACCGGGCTGGTTCCCCGGCTAGCGCCGCGTGACCCCATTGGCAAACCTTCCAGCGCAGGAAATTTGAAGTTGCTGAGATCGATCCCGGATATCGCCTTCTGGAATCCTTCCCCATCGGCATCTTGCATGGAGAATTGGATCTGGTCCGGGAACGCTGTGGCAATGGTGTGGTTGGCCTTGTGCAGCTCGCTGGATATCCGGTCATAGCGGTCAGCCAGCGCCTGGTAGGACCTGAACATCTCCTCGACGTGGTTGATGAGCTCG